CTTCCGATCAGTGCAGCATTCAAATTTAATTATATCCTCCTATTCTTTTTCTTCTTCATCTCTAAGCTTCTTATGGAGGAAGGTGGAGGTTTTGGAGGAAATAGTTGTAAATTAGTTAGAAAGTATCTAGTAAGCTTCCCCAAGGCATAGAGCACCCTTTCTAGAGCAGGAATATTCTTGGTATTTTCTCACTCCAACAAAATAAATCCATTGAGGCAGTAAGGGGCCAACAAAGAAAAACATCTGCTTGGTAAAACATCCAACAGCCAAAAAGGATGCTTTCCTAATTTATCAGCAGTAGCTTTACTCTAATGTTAAGACCATACCTTGTCATTGTCAAGAAAAGTAAACAACAGGTAGAGTTGAACTCTTCTTTGAATCAACCAATTTCCAGGAAGTTAAAAAAATATATATATATCAACTGCCTTCTCAAGTAAAGAAAGTAGAAAAAGTACACAAAAGCAGTCCAAGCAAAACCAATTAACAAGGATAAGGCAACCTTCTCCAATAGATAGGGCATTGATTGGAAAAACCAAATGGATGATTCTGACAATCATACCTTCACTTTTAGGCAAATGCACCACTGAAGAGTCTTGAATCACATCAGGGAACTGTGTAAATAAAACAAAATGGTAGAAATATTATTAAAAGAGAAAGGTAAGCAGAAAGGATTCATCTATATAAGCACTCAAAATCACCAAACGGTGAGTAGAACCTAAAAGCAGAAGGAACGAATAGAACATAAAGGCAGACACATTGGATCTAAGTACAAATTTACAAATAGCAGTAACTTCCACTACTGTAGAAGATAACTGCACCCTGCTTCTTCCCACTCCTTCCAAGATGATATCTTAATGCAGATAAGTGATTCAGAAAAGGAAAATGACAAATTATACCATAATCACCCTCTCCCAGGCCTGCATAAAATAAACCTCACTGCTTGCTCTTATTGCCATCATTACAAAACCTTCTGGAAGTTGCACATTTAACATGTCTAATGAATGGACAAGGCATCAACTCTATGTCCAACAAACCTCAGATGAGAAGCCAGGAAATGTCCATAAAACAACATAATGGTTCTTCGAGAGGATTTTGCTACCCAAACTTCTTTCAACACAACACAGCATTGAACACTTCAATTGCTACATGCTTTTTTTCCTTCTGACAAACAAACTTTTTGCATGCATATTTTGATACTAAAATAATTCACAATTTAAATTTAGCAATTCTTATTCTCTCTTTTTCTATTTGCATATCAAAAGTGTGATGACAGCACATTCATAAGTTCTACACTGTTCAAAAGTGTGAATATCATCAATATTTTAGCAAACACAGCTGAATATATGGATGCTTAAGCAATCCGAACAACATAAGCACAGGTCACAACTGCCTTGGCTCACAATGATAAGTTGAACAAATTGGGCAGAAACAATAAATAGACAAAAGAATGCATGCAGTCTAGAAAAACAAATTGCTGAGCAATCAATAACTAGGAAATGAAAAAAGAAGCATAAACTATCAGTAGAAAAGAAATAGCTTCAGTCCCTAACACCACGCCATAAAATGATAAATGGAAGACATAGAAAACCTAATATTTTATAGAAATGAACCACAAATGGCAGGTGCCTCTGGCATCAGTTTTGCAATTGTACACATGCATACACTGTTAATAGGAGAAAAAATCTAACTACAGGCAGATGAAAACTACAGTCTATTAATTAATACCTTCAACAAATACAAGTAAACAAAAATATGAAAATAAATACTGCACGTTTAGGCATACAAAAATTGAAAGGAAGATAGTGCTGATGTGTGATAGCTTCTGCATTCTGCCTCATACACGAGGGAAAAAAATCAAGTTCACAGGTGCCATCAACAATGTTGTAGTCACTGAAGAAGATTGCTGCAAGGGCCATATGGAAAGTCAATTTTGTTCTCAATCACTGTGCTACAGATGTTTTGGAGGTGTTTCCTAACAATAATTCAGAGAGACTGAGGAAGCTTTAGTATTTTATCTTGGTCATTTTGTGTTTCAGATTCTCTTTCTGCTTTGGGGAAATTCTCATCCACCATTTCTGAAAATTTTCCCTTTTTTCAACAATTTTTTTTTTCTATATAACTATGTTCTGTATTACCTAATATTTTGAATAAACAAAAAAAATAAAAGTCACTTGAAAAGAAATATAAAAAGCATGACATGAAAAACAAACACTCTTCAAGGTTCTTCTCGGAAAAAATCTCAGAGCCTTATAGCATAGGTAGCTGAGAAGATTTCAGGAGGATGGAGGGTGAGGTTCTTACAAAGGAAGATAACTGGCAAAAAAGAGTTAGCAGAAACCAACTTTCCAAAGACATAATAACTCACATACCTACAAATAGAATATTCATAATACAGACATCAAAATTAATATCTATACCATTGATTAGGAAAAATAATTACAAGAAACAGATGCCACCAGAGTTTTCTTTTTCCTTCCAAATCAACGTGGTAAACACAGAGAAATTTCATTTAAGCAATGGAAAAAACATGTGGTGGCCATATCATCCTTGTTATGCAAAGTATTATTTGTATTATAACAAGAACAAGTTAACATGAAAGAATATACTCAGGATACTTTGAGAAAGGATGGAATACCATTAAGAACGAGTTACAGTAAGAGAAAAAACTGGAGGAGAATCAAAACACAAAGGAAACCACTCCTTAACATCTTCACCACATTCACATACACAACTGCCAAATTAGAGATCTTCTCCAATACTTTTGTTGTGACACAAAGGTAAACTAAGGCAAACAGGAGAACTTAAATAGCACTACAGTTATGAACTGTTTAAAGGAAAACAACAGGACCAGAGAAAGGAAAGATATCAGAAAATTGAACTAGAAAATATGCAGAAAAGGAAAAGGCTCCTAATTCAAGTAGTTAATTAAAAACAAGCACAAAAAGAAATTCCAAACACAAAATTAGCTCCTAATCACAAAGCAAGTCACATCTTCAGATGGTGATTCAAAACAGACAAAACAAATCAACTAACCTCCTATAAGAATCTTTGTAGCAAATAATTACAGTGCGATAGGACTACCTTTTCAGATACATCAGGGAAGGATGCTTCACTAGATTTTTCAGGTTCTTCTCCTCTCAGTTGACTGACAACTTTCATATCTTCCATTAGCATACCGTTGTCACTAAAAATTTCCTCGGGTGAGCAAACTACTCCGTTATCCCTCAAAACTTTAATGTTACTTTTGGTTCTTCTCCGAGGGGGAACTGATTTAACAGCAACAGCATCTGTAATATCAGTCTCAGATATAGTGATACCATCAGAATGGTCTGCTGTTCCAATCTCAGCTTTTGGTAAAACTGTGGATTTTAGTTTAAGTTTCAAATATTTACGTTGACTGGCCATGTAAACATGATTCTGAAACCACTTGACTAATTTGGACTGAAAATCAGGGACCAAATTAACTTCCTGCAGAGAAAAGGTCAAGAAGCAAAAAGTCAGCAATGATTAATGATGAACACTTGTTTCAGAAAATGAACAGAAAGTGAAATACATGGTCCGGTGCATTACAGCCAATGTTGAAGTTATCAAATCAGGTGACATGCCGATTTCCATTGCCAATTCTTCAGCATTGACTTTTCCTTGGTCAATTAACTACACCATTAAAATTTCCAAAGAGGTCAAATAAAACAATAAGAGGGAAATAACCAAAGAGAAAAACTACATGGATGCATGCATGCAATACCTATATATCTCAAAAGTCAAAACCCATGCAAAAAGCATGAAAACCTAAGTTTTTTCAGTACCTTCTTCAAAATCAGCAAAAGATTTCGGGAGTCAGTGCTAGCACCCTCATAGCAACCTCTCTCAAATATCCCTATATCAATGAGTTTGTCCACATCCCCAGATTCTGACAAAGGTTCAGCGTTTGATCTGGAATCAAACAATCCTATTTCCCATAACTCACCATCACCAGGTTTACCAGAATTAGTATCAGAAGTTTCTGTGTGGACTGCAAGTTTATCTCCATTTTGGCCAATATTTAACTTACTCTGTTTGTCCATTTGCAACGTTGATGGATTATAGCTGGCAACAGAGCAGTCATGGCTGGCAGACACAAAAGCCTCTCCTAATTGATGGGTATCCCTATCATTAGGGAGTTCATTGTGCTTTGAGCAAAAGGCTCGTAATTCAACCTGTTGACACACACATAGTAAAGAAATTTAGAGAAGATGTCATAGCATAAAGTCAATAAAGTTCTTGTAGCACTGGTGGTTATGGTGGTGGTCACTGTAGTTGTGGTAGTAGCATTAGTAAGAAAATAGTTAGCAAATTATATCTTCATTGTGATGAAGAGAGGAAAAAGGCTTACATTATCAGTACCATATTTCCCCCAGACCTCCATCCTATGTCTTGCTTCCCTTGCACATATAGGATGGAAAGCAGTTCTACAAGTTCCTGAATAAACCACATGAACAGAAAGGCATTACCAGAAAAGCTAAAAGTGCTGAAGCTAGATGAGACAGAAGGTAACAGTGCCAAAGCTAAATGAGACAGAAGGTAACAGTGCTAAAGCTACATTATACGACTTATTGATTAAAGTGTTTCAAAAATAGCTTTGGAAACGAGAAAAGCTGCAGCTATCAGTGCAAGAATGGGCAAGTTCGAGACCTGAAAACTAAGGACATAACATTGGCTCATCAGAGAGACAAGCAAAATGAGCACAAGTGACAATTGGATGAAATGACTTCAACATTATATTTTTAAGTGATCTCAAAGATTCCATAGCAAGCAAGTATATCTTTGAGTGATCTCAAAGATCCCACAGCAAGCAACCCTCAGTAATCAAAATGCCCCCATTGGATGCAGTTAAAGCTTATTATGACAGCTTTGTTTCCCCTCAGTTTTCTACTTCACACCATAATGAAGATTTATCTTCGTTCTTGAAGGAAAAAGCAAATTCATCCTTCCAAGACTAAGACAAGACACTGGTGAATGTAACAACTAAATTACGAATAATACACCTACAGGTAAGTGAACAGCCACAGTAAACCCTGTGGTCTCCATTCGGAACCAGGGTGCTTGTGCAAGATCTGCTTTCATTTCTAGTGGTGAAGTAACCATAATCACAGGTCTAATCACTTAGATATTAAGAATAATGGGACTCTAACAAACACATGCGTACTTTTACATGAGCACTCACACAGAGGGGACAGATAAAGAGCAGTACTAAATGGGCCACTGGAAACTAACTAGGCACAGAAGAACAGCAAGCAGCAGGGCCCTTAGTGGTTTACAAGAAAGCCAAATCCACACCAACCCTTACTAAGAATAAAGGCAACTAATGCCAAAGGCTTTAAAAAGATTTGAGGATAAAATACCACAAGGAATAAAATAGGAATGGTGGCTGGTAAAACAAGTATAGGGAGATAACATCCAGCATATCTTAACAATGCAACAGCCATAATAGCCAAGATTTTTTAGGTAAACTCTCAGGCTAAAAACTGCCAAAGGATGAGGGACATCCAGCATCCAAGACCAGCACAACAATGTTAGCAGTCATCATCTCGATTGGAAAAGGGTGAAAAGACCATGGAGAATTGCTCAAGAGTAGAATCAGGAACAAAGAACAAGCCCCGCATTTTGTCCTGACAAAAGCCATTACACAGAATCCAAATCTCAGGGTGTAAAATAGCAGCAACACCAGCTAAAAACCTTAGCAAGGCCCATGAAACAGATGTTTCCATAACTTGGTACATACTAAAAAAACTTGGGCACCAGAGAGCAAGATCCTAACAGACATTCATTAATTAACCGGGGCAAGAAAGTAAATTCATAAGCCAAACCTAATCACTGCTAGAGATACATACATCACCAAACATCAACCAGTGCTAAATACATCACCAAACATTTTACATAGCAAGTCCTCAAAGCACCCAATCAGTGTGTTCTCACAGGTTTATTAAAAGTATTAGACTTTAGACCAAGCCCTCAACCTTGTTTTTGCAAAAGTTTCGAGAAGAACTGTGTTAGAACACACCAACGGACTTCATCACATGAAAATAACTAATGTCATAAAAAATTATTAGATTAATCAACTCCGCTCATAATTAAACAAGATTCATGTGATCTTCCAGATTGTGCTGATCATTATGTAAATTGTGGTAATAATGTGGGATGTTCACCTAACAGAAATTTTTTTATTAATTAATTAATTTTATTGATCAAAATTTAACATGTGATCCAGCATTCAGCAAAAATGTAACTGCAATCAGTAGGCATTTGCATACAGGAAAGAAAGATTCATGAGAGACTATATTCTAAAATTTCAAGCAATATTGAAGTTGGGCCTATTAATGTCAGATTTCCATAAGTGTGAGATATTTTATGGTTTTTTTTTTTTAAAAAAGTCACATTGCCAAGAACAAAACAATCCTGAAGAGCAAGCATTCCCATCAAAGAATGCACGAGTTACATTCCTGGTAATCTTACAGTCCTGCAAATGGCATCTTTTGCATCCTTCTACAATGCATTAAACTGTTTCAACCCCAATCCCTCTCCAATCTCCTCCCAGCCTCATGAATATGCAACAACAACAACCATGCCTCCATCCCAAATTATTTCGGGATGGCTAAATGGATCCTTTTGTGCCATTCCGCATGATCATACACCAAATTGTCCCATCAATCCAGTTTGAAAACCAAAATATTGGATCAAGTAGCCAGGCTTTATAGGCATGTGAGTTAAACAGTGTGTGAAGTCATGAATCAACAACCTGATTGCACATCCAAGGAGAAAGAAGCAAAAGATTGAGAAATTTAATTTGATGACACCATATGCTTCAGTTCAGAAGCAAATCACAATTTAAATAAGCCTATCAATCGCGAAAATCATCTACTTGACTTGACAAAATAACAATAGAAGGACATTGTCTTTTGCGTACAAGAAAAACAAGTGAGATCAACAGTGCTATCACAGATAAAGGGAAATTGATTCAATATCAATAATCATTATATATTTTTATAACAAGGGGCATAAATTATCTGTCTGACTGTTGTTAAATTTCATTTTCATTCCAATAATAACTTGAGCTATAAAATTCAAAAGGAATTCATTCAATGTTGGAGAGACATTATCTCTTATTGATTACCATGATTGTATTCATCCCTTTAAGAAAGAAATACGGTGCACCATGCTATGATTTAGTCCAGGAAGAAAAAACCAGGAGAAAATGAGATGCAAATGAATCATAGACACATAATCGCTGAGAAATATAAACCAATTAGAAAACAAGAAAAAAATAACACTTCTCATCATTCTTTGATTCAATAAAAGACAAATACAATGTAGACTAAAGAACAAAAAGCATTTGCACAATATAACAATATGACTTGTAAGCTGCATTAGACACTGGCTCTGCTGCCAAACAGGCAAAAGTTGCAATAGACACCAACCCAGTGTACCAGAGGAAAATAATAAATGCATAATGGCATAAAATAATGGAGCAACAAAACATACCATGACTGCACCGAACACAGGTACCACACTTCACCTTGCATACATTACACACTAATTTTCTTCGGGTTTCCTTAATTCCACTCACATTCACAATTGGCTCCATCTTTGCTAAGTCCTCTATGTAGACCTCAGGCATCCACTGGGAACAAAACAAGTGCACAAAATCCAGAACAGACTTACCATTGTCTACATCTACAGGTTTCAAAGCACCACCCTGCTTCGGACAAAGTACACAAGACTGCTTCGCTAAATCATTGCCATCACTCTTCTGCTTGCACCAGGAACACAACCACGACTCGCTTACATCTCCTTGCACACCGTAACACTTAAGATGAACTGCAACCTTGCAAGAAGAGCAAACAATCAACCGGTTTGAATCATTACCCATCTCGCTCTTGCAGCAAAAATCACATAATGACAAGTTTCCTTCACAAGGACAACCAACCAAAACCTTCTCCAACCCTGCATCACTGCCTAAAAGTTTCCGCTTCTTGGAAGGCTTTTCAGAGGTCAATATATCCCTGTTCCTACAACCTAAAAGCCACTCTACACTGTTAGACAAATCAGAAACAGAGCACGTCTTTGCTTTCTCCTGGGGCAAACACACAGCTCCATCACTTTGAGTCACAATGTCGATTTCCATTAACTGCTCATCCTCTTGATTGACTTCGTCTTTCAAGACGAGTCCATTTCCATTTACACCCATACAATCCATTTCAAAGTTACCATTTGCATTCTCCACATTGGCCCTTGTCTCAGTTTGTTCATTAGTCTCGCTTTCTTCAAACTTCCCATTCACATTTTCCCCAGTTTTCACATTTGTCACAATGGTCTCGATTCTCTCAGTTTTCTCATTTCCAATATATGGAATGTAAAAACACTTACTATAACCTAAAGAATTAAATAAAGAAGATAACTCAAACAAATCATCAATATCAGGCAATGTCAATTCCCTAAAGTAATCTTCAGTCTCAACCCAAATATTCCCTCTTTTAGACCCGTCACTTGCCCGCGAAGAAGACTTCTTTTCCGCTCCAGAATGAGACCTTTTATGTCTCTTTCTACTCCCATTTGATTGCCTCAACAAACTAGCAAACCTGCTTGGCAAAGTAGACGCACTTGGAAAACTCGAAACACCAGAACCAGACGCATTCTCCGCAGCATCAAATGGCGAGCGCACGCTTAAGACCTTGTGAGCTTGGGAGAAGAAATCAACCTCGAGTGGATTCGATTTCTTTACTTTTGGTTGAGGTATTTCAGACTCCTTCATGAGGGAATTGGATGCCGGAACCCTATAAACTGGACGGCAAGACCTCTCGCCAGTTCCGCAACCTCCGTCAGGACCCCTACCCATCATCTTCTTTCACCGGTGGCATCGGCCCTCCGGTCATTCCCGACACCAGCCACAACAACTTTCTTTACCACCGTCGCGTTCCATAACAAAACCACCCTAACCCTAATTTGTCCTCTAGTGAGGTTAATACTTCACATGCGTAGAGACATGCAGAGATACAGGAGGATAAAGAATTTCGCGGCTAGGGTTAGGGTTTCAGTTAGTCAGGTTCGTGAAGTTGGAGACCCGTTTTGTTGTTTTTATTTTTTACAACTGGTTTTTGTTTTTTTATTTTTTTCTGGATTTTGCTGTCGAGGAGAAAAGAGAGAGACAGAGCGATTAGCTTTTTCTGCAGGCGAGAGAGGACTGTCAGTTCTGGGTGTAGATATTTTTATAGTGGGTTACAATACCATGGAGTGACGCGATAAAGTTGTACCAGTGTGGCTGCCGAAATGATCCACGTGGCATCGTTTTATATGTACGTGTGGATACACCTCTGTGACAAATAAAAGTTTTGTGATTTTTTTTTTATAATAATTTCATATGCGTTCTTTATTTTTAGAAGGTTTCCTCCATTTAACTTTTGAAATGAAATTTGATAAACCACGGTATCTGTTTTATAGCTGAAAAATAGCTTTTTAAAATAAATTAAAAAATATTTATTGGTTTTTGACTATATGAAATAAATTGAAATATAACTTTTAAAATTTGTTTATATTTATTAAAATAATAAAGATAAAATCATATATATAAAAAAGTTGAACGAAAAACAACCAATTTTATAAATTATTTTAAATAAAATAAATAATAATTAAAAAATATAAACCAAAATATATATATATAAAAAAATTTAAAAGATGATAAAATTACAAAACAAGTTTTAATTTTACAAATTATTTTAAATAACATAAATAATAATGGTGAAAATAAGAATCAGATCTAATTAAAAAATACAAAAGTAAATAACAATTAAAAAAATAAAAACTATATAAAAATAAATATAAATCAAATTTTAGGGACAAAATTAAAAATAAATATTCAATATATATATATATAGCAATCAAAAAATTCAAAATTAAATTTGTTATAATTAAAAAATAACAGAATATTTTTTATTTTGTATAACTTCTGAAAGTTTATTACACCTAAAATAAGATAAAAACATTTTACTCGAAACCAAGCTAATTTTTTTACTAGAAAGTATTTTCAGATGATAAATTTTTATAATAGTAAACAAATATAAAAAATTTTAGAAAATGGTTTTTAAAAAACTATTTTGTATTAAACAATCGGGGCCTAAGATTAATAGATTGTTTATTTTTGCGTTTGAAACTTTATTTGAATGTGTTTTAAAAATATATTTGGTTTGAAAAGACATCAAATTTATATTTTTTTAGTGATTTTTAATAATTTTAATATATTGATGTTAAAAATAAAAAATTATATAAATAAATTTTTTTAATATTTTTTAAAATAAAAATACTTTTAAAAATATTATTCATCTCAATATTAAATATACACTAAGTTAAGGTATGTTAATGATTAGTACTTAAAAGTGCATTTTTATCAAGGTTTTATATCATCATTTTGCATTTGAAGTATCAATAATTCTTTAACTAAAACATGTTTTATAATAACATATCTAATAATATAAGATACCTTTAATTTGTGGTAAATGTTCATTTTAAATGCAGGTATATCACATAAATAAAAGGATTGATTGATGAGTTTAAGAACTGAAATTGAAAGGACAAAGAGATGGCCAAACTTAGAAAAGAGATGCTGGTGCAGTCCAAACCGAAACACTGTATAGTAATTGGGTTATATTAGAAGCTGTAGATCTCATATTTAGGTTTACTTTATATAGATGGAAATGTAAGACATAGGCCTATAATTTTCATATGGAGCCCAAAATTAAAAATGTCATTTTCAAGTCTAAATTGTAGTAACAACAAAGAAGTCTAAATCTCTCCTAATAAGAATAAATAAATAAAGATATACATGATGAGAAAGAAAAGAAATGGGCAAAGCCTAATTACCAGCAATTGTCTTGCCAAAAAGGACACTAGATTTGATGAACTTTAACATATCAAGAACCTTTGCTCTAAAAACACATGTGATTATATTAGACTTGTCCTCATGTTTAGAAAGTCTATCTTTTTAGGGCTCTCGTTGGATTGCAGGTCAGCTTGTATTGCTTGTGAATGTGATGAAAAGATCTGGATTTTCATATGCCTTACAAATGGCCATAGATCTTGGTAATTATTTATCATATATCGTGGGTTATTAGTTAAAGAAAAGGGGAGAATAATTTTTCTTATTTTTGACCCTTGAATATCCCCTCTAAGAACATCTTCAGTAATGCCTTGATAAAGCTCAGTCCAAAGATCATTTTGGTTCATTATAATGTAATCAAGCCTGTTTTTCTTAACATTGGTAAACGCATCAACCAAAAATTATTGGTAAATACGGTAATCTTTTATAACAATGTCTTCACCATATTCCCTCTCATGAATAAGATACGTATAAAAAGCTCTCATTGGTACATTTTAACGCCTTCTAGGAACTTGATTATCATGGTTGGCAAAACTAATATTAGTTCGATAACCATTTTCACCAAATGAAAAAAGAAGAGGATATTGCAATGCCATAAATTTTGGATGCAATTTAGAGATTCTTTGTAAAGTCCCTGACGAACTTTCAATAACAATGTCTCGTTCTGAATGGTAATTAATTAGTACTTAAAAATTTATTTTTATCAAAATTTTATATCATCATTTTGCACTTGAAGTATCAATAACTCCTTAACTAAACCATGTTTTATAATAACATATCTAGTAATATAAGATACTTTTTTTTTTTTGATTTACGTGGGGTGTCCGGGCCAGCTTGCGCGCACCACAACTAATCCCCACGGCCCACTGAATACCCTGCAAACCCAGTAGGCATGTAAGGCACCGCGGGGGTGACAGGCGTGCACGCTAAGGCTCGAACCCAGGTGCAGTGAAAGGAGACACGCCCCTTCCACTGCTAGACCAAGCCCTAGTTTGCAATATAAAATACTTTTAATTTGTGGTAAATGTTCATTTTAAATGCAGGCCTATCACATAAATGAAAGGATTGATTGATGAATTTAAGAATTGAAATTTAAAGGACAAAGAGATGGCCAAACTTAGAAAAGAGATGTTGATGCAGTCCAAACGGAAACATGACATGACCAAAAGATTGATGTCTTCTCCCAAGTGCAGGAGTGTCGAAGTAATAAATAACCCGGTAAGAACGGGGTCGAACCACAAAGAGGTTAATTGTATAAATTATAAATGACAATAATACAACTATAATAACAACAACAATAATAATAACAATAATAGTAGTAGTAGTAGTACTAATAATAATAATAGTAGTAGTAGTAGTAGTAGTAATAATAATAATAATAATAATAATAAAGAAAAAAAAGGAGAAAAAGAAGATGATGATGAGAACTTGAAGATAGAATATTAATGTAAGGATTAAACAATGATAATAACAAATGTCAAGGTTAGAGGTTCCACTAATGGTATGCCAAACAAGTATAGTATAAACTCTTATTATTCAATTGGAAACCACATACAAAGGAAGTTCCAATCAGATTATAGATTGTTAACATGATTACATTAGTCATCTTATTCGATTAATGCTAATACTAGTAAATCTCGTCAAGCATTCATGATTATAACTTATGTTAATAACAAATCAAGTTCTTTTCATATCTAGAGTTCTAAAACTCTAAATGACCTTCATTTATTTTCTTCGGAAGTTGAGACAATTTCCTACAACTTTCATGTTTTCAAGTGGTTCCAATTCTAACATTATCAATAATATTTTGGGCAAATAAGAGAAGATAAGGATTGTCACCAAGTCAAGAGTTGGTCACCCACTCATCAATTAGTCATCAAATTAATAGTTCCCAATTTTGGCCTATAAAAGGAGGCATTTTTCATGCATTTAGGCATCTTAGTTTTCAGATTAAGATCATGCTCTTGCTTTCTCTCTTTGTATTTTTTGTAATGTTTATGCTTTGCTTTCATTAATATCAAGTTTATGCCTTTCATTTCCTTTCATTTATTTCGGTAACTTTTATTTTATTTATATTATTATTTTGTTTATTTATTTTTCTTTCATTCATAATGTTTAGTTAATTTTACTATATCAAGGTGAAAAGGTTACACTAATGGTGTAAGAATAAGTATAATGTAAACTTAATATGGACTTTAATGTTTGATATTAACATGTTTTGTATTTTTTATCTTGTTCACTCTTTAATACTTTCCTTGTTAAATGACTAATCTTGATTTATGTTGTATAACACTTGATACAACAAATGCTTGGCACTTTCATAGCCCATACTGCATGGTATAACCGACACCTGAGCTATGAAAGGAACTTAATTTGTTGTTAACATAAATTATAATCATGAATGCTTGATGAGATTTACAAGTATTAGCATTAATTGAATAAGATGACTAATGTAATCATGTTAACAATCTATAATCTGATTGAAACTTCCTTTGTCTGTTGTTTCCAATTGAATAATAAGAGTTTATACTATACTTGTTTGACATACCATTAGTGGAACCTCTAACCTTGACATTTGTTATTATCATCGTTTAATCCTTACATTAATATTCCATCTCAAAGTTCTCATCATCATCTTCTTCTTCTCCTTCTTTTTCTTTATTATTATTATTATTATTTGTACTACTACTACTACTATTATTAGTGTTATTGTTGTTGTTGTTGTTACTATTATTGTTGTTTATAATTATTAATAATTTATACAATTAACCTTCCTGTGGTTTGACCCTAGTCTTGTCGGGTTATTTATTATTTCGACACTCCTACACTTAGAAGAAGATATTAATCTTTTAGTCGTGTCAATAATCACCAATATCTCCAACAATCAAGCCACCAATATCATTTGAAGATGGGTCATTATACTTCCTTGAGTCATGAGTTCATTGACCAAGCAACCATAGTTTATATCCAAGATTGTCAGACATCAATAGCCTTTGCGAAGCATGACAAAATAAGGCAATTAAACAGTTTGTTGAATTAAGTATATCAATAAGATTCTTGACAACATATTCATCTAAATTTGAAGCAGAGCTCTCATGTGGAAACGGAGCTAGTCGATTTGCAACTTCATTTGTAGTGTCATAAATATAAAGTTGAGCAAATTTTAGAGTGTCTTTATCAGAAGAAAAAGGCAAACCCATTAAATGATGCAAATTTTAGAGTCTCTCTATCAAAAGGAAAAGGAGAACCCATTAAATGATGACAATGGCCATTTATCTTAAAAACATAGGGCCCAGGTCGATGATTGACTGAGTGA